ACAGTTGAAGTGAAGGATCGACTTTTCCAGGGCCCAGAACTCAACTTCTTGACAGAATGTAAGAAAAGGTAGCCAGCATTCAAAGAAGAGTTTTGAAATGTCCTTCAAAAAGCCTGAAGAACTATTCCTGAACACTGCGTAAAAGGAAATGAGGCTTGTTAGAGTTGTTCAATGTCTGTTTTTATACAGATTTATTGAAACAGTTTGCACGTTTCAGTAAACCTTTGCACCTATTTCTGATTTTCCTAGCAAAAATATATATATATAAAAAAATAAGGGTTGGGTCAAGATTTTGTTTTGCACAGCCCTCTTGAACATTTCTTTACCAAATATAGTTATGCGTTTCAGGGTTCTGTGAAACAGTAATTAATATTAATTTAAAAGGAAACAAAGTACAAAACTTATCAAAAGGATTTCATCAGTAACGAGTCAGCTGCTGGCTGAGGCTTCATGGCGCAGAGACAAGAGAGTGGTATCAATCATTTCAAGTCACTCTGACAAGTTAACTGATGATGTTTCCTTTGAGTCCCAGTGTTTGCAGGCCTGTTCTGGTGCATCCAGTAGATGCTTGATCAGATCGGTATGCGGGGAGTTTTTAAAGTTAGTGAATGTCTGGACTAATGGTTTCCGAGCAGGACTTTACACTGCATCGGGACCATTACCTGTCAGCTATTTAAATGTTTGGCCTGATCGGTGCTGTTACATACCTTATGTTAACTTTCCAGGAATATATTTCACAAACTACTTAACAGGTTACTGTGAAGACACCGCTGTGATGCAGATAAAGCTCTAAGAGAGAAAGAACACATCACAACATTGCTCTCTGTGATGTGCTTTTAGTTTATCTTAGAATTTCAAGAGTACTACTTGAAACATACAGAACAATAACTCACACTTGATAAATTTATATGCTGTCACATTGAAAGCTAAACAATGGGTAAAATGTTCCAGTGACTGCTTGAGTAATGCTTTCCTACCCTTTTAAAGTACTTTATTAAAAAAAATCTTCCATTTATTAAAAGTACTCTCAACTATAAATTGGGAAACTTTTCATGATCTCCTTGAGTGTCTGTTTCACCTTTACCAGAGGCGAGTGTTTGGGTGGGACGGTATGAGTAAGAACTGTGGGAGACATGGTAGAAGTGTTTATTTCCACCTACCAGACAATGCTGTCCCAATGCTTTATTATGACAGTGGAGGTAGAGTAAGTTTGTGAGTCAGTGAAGGGGAGGACAGGTCAGTCTGTGGGCAGAGGCCGGACTCTTTGGCTCATAACCTGGAGAAGAAGTCGGATAGAGCTAAATCACTTTTTAAAAATGGTTTGTTTTGGATGGTGATGTACCAGTTTAACAGTTCACCACACAGACAAACTGCTTTCCATCCACAGTCGTTTGGCTCAGGCTAGTTGACTATTTTTAATCATTTCTCCTGTGGAAGAAACAAGTAACTGCTCTCTCCTCTGCTAATGCTTAAAAAGAAAGTTGACATGGTCGCTCTCTACCTGGATAATGAATAATAGTCATATGTCTGGTTAGCCTGGAAATAAAACGTGATATAATGCAGATACATGCTTTTTTCCAATTACTGAATAATTGCTGTCCTTGACCAAAGCCAAGAGGAAGACACGCAAGTTAAAACTTGGAATGATGTGCCACGTTTTTCTCCCTGTCTGCACGCTCTCCTAAAGAGGTACGTCATGATTTAGTTTCACTCTGCACTATCTGACAAGAGCTTCTCTGTGACGGTTCAGTGCCAAGCCTGGAATCAGGTTAAACTCTCTGCCTTGTTTTAGGGGTATTTTTACAGCATGGCAATCTGTATTTGTGTCTCGCCGAAGTAGTAATCCCTTTGTTTAAATTTTACTTTACCTTGTCGTATTAAGGTTCTTCTATATGGGAAGAATCAACATTAAACTTAACATTTCTGCCTTTGTTCAGACGTTCAATACAAGACAATGTTTTTGAGGGGTTAAATCTGTTACCTTCCAGTTTCAGGACATTTACTTTGGCTTCTGATTTATCTAGCTAATAATGTCGAGTATCTTTTTATATTTCAAGAAAAATCCAATTATCTTTGCAGATAATGAAGTATCTAAATGTAGGATTATTTCCATGATAGTAAGTCTAAAAAATGTCCAAACAATCTAATTAATGTCACATTTAGTAATAAAAGGTGATTTTTTTGTGCACCGTTACATATTTTGCAGTGAAGTAAAATGATTGTAAAAGAAAAAAAAAGCCAGAAAAACTCAATAGTCGTCACTATTATAAATAAAAAAAAGAGCCATGTAGTCTTGAAACTAGTTCATTTGCATTGGATACTGGTGATATTAAATCACCACTTGGCAGATAATTTGCTTTTTGAATTTGACTCAGTTTTGGATTCAAATGTTGAGATTTAAAAAATTAATGTTTTTGACTGTCACAGCTGTCAGCGCTGGCAACGATCGTTTGGTATTTGTAAAGTAAAAAAACCACAGAGACTGCAAATGGATGATTTTCTGACCTGCGTCTCATTTTACTCACCGCGTTTTGGCTTTGTGCTGCAGGTTATAACAAGTTAAAATCCCGTTTTCTCTCCAGGTCACTAAAAAGAATGAAATATCAGCCAGAATATGACAAAGAATATAAAATTCAAGTAGCAAGAGTATTTTGCCACTGTGGCTGAAGTGATGCTTCAGGTTTTACCAGCATGTGTCAAGGGATGCCTATTTTTTTAACCGCCACAGCAAACTGATTGATTGCAATAGTTTGCATGGACATTAATCATTCCCTGGATTTGCTATAATATCTCATTTATACCCCTTTTTTGTCAAGCACCACAATAAGGTCACAAACTGTGGTCTATGACATGCAAACCTAATGGCATTCCAAGCTTTGCTTTGCAAACGTGTCTGCACAGTTCAAATACATTAAGTGCACCAGCTAAGTATGCGTCCCTCGAGTGGACTCAATGTGGACAAGTAAAATTAAAAAAACCCAACTACTTCCAGCAAAAAATGGGTTCACAGAGCTGCTGGCATGACTACATACCTTGGTTTTGTGTTTAGAATTTAAAAAATTGCTTAATCACCACTAGTGAGATGACACAATTAATCCGTTGATGCATCTTCTGTTTACTGAATTTCCAATATGCATTAGTAAATTGCTGCATCTTTCCCATTTCCCTTGCAAAATATAAAGAAATGAGATGTACATCACGTGAAAAATTATTTTAGTGTAGACTTTATTGTATACTAAAACGACCTCTAGAGGGCGATCTAGGGGCGATCGTGGCTCAAGAGTTGGGAGTTCGCCTTGTAATCGGAAGGTTGC